TGCTTTCCTTGCCTAAAGGGAACCTACGGGAAGGCTAGGAAGGGACTTTTTATAAGAGTATTCAGCGATAGGACAAAGGGAAATGGATTTATGTTAAAGGAAAACAGATTTAGATTGGATCTTAGGAAAAAATTCTTCAGTACAAGAAGAAAAAACTTTGGAATAAATTGTCCAGAGAAGTTGTAGATGCCCCCTCCCTGGAGGTGTTCAAGGCCAGGTTGGACAGAGCCTTGAGCAGCCTGATGTAGTTGGGAGGTGTCCCTCCCATGGCAGGGGGATTGGATTAGATGCGCTCTAAGGTCTCTTTCAACTTAGGCCATTCTATGATTCTATGAAGATGAGAGACTGGAGATGTTGCCACATATCGGGGTCATGTGTCAATCCTCTTTGGGTGTTTCTACCTGCTTATAAGGTTAATTTATACTTGTTGCTCCCTAACTGTGCAGGTCTGGGTGTTGCGGCAGGGCTGGGCTGTTGGTGGGCACAGGTGTCCCTGTTGGGTCCCTCTTGGTGGTGGCTGGGCTCAGTGGCCAGTGGGAGGTGCCCAGGCTTCAGGCTGCCTTCTGGCCCCTGCAGCGTGGAGCTGGGCTGGTGTCACCTTTGGGGTGTCACCTGAGAGTGCTGGAACCTGCTCGTTCTTCCCACCTGTGGGGCCGAGCAGATCCACAGGCCCAAGAGCTAGTCCTGGTGGCAGAGGCTCCTGGGGACAGCAGGTCCAAGTGTCCCTGCTGTGTTATCTGGGTGTGAACCTAAAGCTGAAGGCTGTTTGCTGCTCTTTTGACTTTCTCCCTCCAATCTCTGTCTTCACAGACTCTATTCGCTGTTTTGAAATGTGCCACACAAACAGCCTCTCACTTCATGGAAGGACATTTCAGCCCGTTTTGAGATGTTGATAAATACCACGGTCCGTTCCAAACCTCACCCCGCGCTGCCTAGGAGGGCTTTGCGGCCCCTGGTTCGTTCCAGAGGAGGCATTGCCTCCTGGGTTTAAAGCAACAGTCAGATTTCGAAGGGAAGAGGGGTGTGGGTATGTGTGTTTGCCTTCCTCCGCTGTGCCAAGGGTGTCACTGAGCGTGCTCCTGTGTCTGTATGGAGCAAAGACTTTCTAGAGTGCCATTAGTCTCTGAAATGTCTGCCCTGGACAATGCCAGAAGATGGGGAAGATCTGGCGGAGCAGCTCCCAGCCCACCGTGTCTGTGCACAGCTCCGGTGTGCTGCTCGCAGTTTTGTAGCATGATCCTGGCTGGGGCTTCTTTTAAAGGCTCAGTTTTGCCACTGGAGGTAATTAATCCATACCTCGGCTGTTGTTAAGGATGGGGAAGTTCTTTGTTCCTGTTGAGGAAATTATTGAAAAAATAGTTCACAGAATCACAGGCTGGTTGAGGTTGGAAGCACCTCTGGAGGTCACTTTGTCCGACCCCCTGCTCCATCAAGGCCCTGGACCATGTCCAGGTGGCTTTTCAGGATCTCCAGGGATGGAGACTGTCACCTCCCTGGACAACCTGTGCCAGGGCTTGGCCACCCTGACAGCAGAGCAATGTTCCGTGATGTTCAGAGGGACCCTCCTGCGTGTGGGTTTGCACCCGTGGGCTCTGGTCCCATCCCTGGGCACCCCTGAGAAGATCCTGGCTCCGTCCTCTCTGCACCCTCCCTCCAGGTATTTATACAGACGGATGAGACCCGCCCCGCGCCTGCTCCTCTCCAGGCTGAACAGCCCTGGCTCTCTCGGCCTTTCCTTGGAGCAGAGATGCTCCAGCCCCTTCATCATCCTCACTGGGGTCTCTCCAGTATGTCCCTGACTCTCTCATACTGGGGAGCCCAGCACTGGACCCAGCACCCCAGGGGTGCTGAGCGGAGTGGAAGGATCGCTTTCTTCCACCTGCTGTGAAATTCCTCCTAACGCAGGCCAGGACACCCTTCGCTGCACGTTGCTGTGTCCACCTTCAGCTTTAGCTTTCCAGCTGGGTGGCCTTCAGCATGTACCAGTGTGGATTTCAGGAATATTTAAAAATCTGAGAAGCCACAAAGCCAATCAACCTGTTAGTCTTGTTTGAAATGTAGTTACTTTAAGCCACTTTTGTGATGAAAAGAAAGACGTGTTTTGACCAGACTGTGCTTTCTGAGGTGCTGACGGGGATGTACTGTGTCTCTGTGCTGGGAGCTGCTTTTCTCCGTGCTCCTCTGTGGCCTGTTGCGTGCAGCAGGTCCCTCCTCAAACATTCCCTGGCTGTGCTGAGGCTTTGCTTGTTTTCCAAGCCCCCGTGTCTGTCTCTGGTCAGAGCGCTGTTGTGCCAACACCCAGCATTTCTTGTCTGATAAGCTAGAAACTTGGTGAGCAGTACAACCAGAGAAGCTTGGTTGCCTTAAAACATGTGTTTTATGGCCATTTTCCTTTGTACATGTGACTCTGGGTGCACAGATGAGCTGTTCCCAGCCGTTCTCTGCTGTTTGGGAAGTTCAGACCATGCTCCGTTCTGATGCCTTCCTCTGCAAGGTGAATTTGAAGGTTTTACTCTGAGACCACTTTTATACAGACATCTCATCCTGAGGTGGTGGAAGTAGGCTGGCACACAGATGGCCACGTGGTAAATGCGATTGCACAAGAACTGCTTTACTGGAGCGAAGCAGGTCAAGAAAGAGAGCGCTTCTGGATTAAAATTGTCTGGAAAAATTCCTCCTTCCAGCAAGCACATTGTGGAGGGACCACTAGTGTGTGCCTGGGGTTTCCTACGGTGGCTTTCCTCCCTTTTGGCTTCTCCAGAGTGGGAACTCGAGGTCCTTGGCTGTCCCTCAGCAGAAGGCAGGAGAGAGGAGTGGACGTGCTGAGTTTTAGGTCCCTGTGGACCTAAAGGAAAGACGGAATGGCGGCCTTGTTGGGGAGTGGAGCTGACCTACACCCTCTCTAAGACATACAGAATTACAGTCAGAAAAAATGGTGAACTTGGGGCCTCACTGCTAAGTCCAAAATAGCTTTCACCTCTGTGATTCCTTGCTGTTTTAAAATCTGGATGGTGGGATATTTGAAAGCTGCTAAGTGTTGGCCTAATTCTGCTCTTGCCCGGATGGGCAGAGTTTTATCAGATGTCACTGGGGCACATGTTGGTCAAAAAGCTGTTTAAGATCCCAACTAAATAAGAAAAATTAGAGAATAAATAAACGTTTTGTTCATCATCTAGAGCAGTCGCTAGAGAGGGAATGTGCTTGTTTTGCTGATTGTTGTGCTAGTTTGCAGGAAGCATGGTTTCCATCCTGGGAGGTTCTCAAGACCAGACTGGATAAAGCCTGAAGCAGCCTGATCTATAGCTGACCCTGCTGTGAGCAGGAGTTTGGACCAAAGACCTCCTGAGGTTCCTTCCAGCCTGAATTATCCTGTGATCCTCGATGGGTCTTGCCAAGGCTTCCAGGAGGTGCCTTGAAGTGATCTCTGGGATGGTACCTGCCCAGGCTCTGGCTCCACGTGCTGAAGCAACCAGACTTGTCTCAGCCGTGGGAATTTTGGTGTAGGCACTGTCCTGTCTCCTGGGCCAGCTGCTGCCCCAAGGCCAGGGAATTGAGGAAGGCAGCTGGCACGGCCACCGTGGCCAGGTCCAAGTAGGAGCTCAGGTCACCAGGCAGGGTCTGAGATCAAGCCAGGATACCAGTCAACAGGTCAGCTCCAACCAGTGCTGCTGCAGCTTGGCATAGACAGGCCGAGGGTGGGCCCGTGGTTGGGGGTCCCAGGGAGGCTGGTCAGGGCCAGCGAGGTCCAGGAGTGCTCTCAGGGCCCTGGTGGCTTGCCTGCTCCTTGAAATTCATGGCTAAGTGGGTTGAACATCACCAGTCCTGTGGGAAACTCAGCTGCCTGCAGTGGACGTTGTGTTTTGCCATTTGACTCCTGTCACTTGTGAAATTCTATCTTACAGCTGGTTAGAAGATCAAGGGTGACTTCCCAGGAGGAGAGCTGGAAGGGGAACGTCAGGGACCTCTGTCTCCTCCAGGGTAGGATTTGCCAAGCCCCAGTCACAGTCTGTGCCAGAGCAGTGTAGGCCCCACTGGGAGCCAGGAGCAGCCATCGCTTGTGGTGGATCTGCTGTGCTCGTACCATCTCATGGTGCTGCCAGGTAAGAAAAAACCCCTCAGCATTTACAGGCTCTGAGCTGGGATCTTGCAACAAGGGCTTTACTAGGTCTTGTTGGTACCAGCTGTGACCTTCGTGCTGTTCTCTGTTGGATTCAGTGGGCCTTTAGTATGTCTTCTGGGAGATGGTGGAAAGGGAGGGACCATCCTCCACAGTCTCCTTCTCACTCCTTTGTCATGTTTGCGCTTGTCCCCAGCTTGTTTTTTTTTTTTTGCTGTCTTCCAGTGTCTCGCTCTGCGTACAGGCAAGGCGATGGACAGCAGAGCAGAGATGGAGGTTGTGAGGAGCACGAAGGGGAGTGGTGCTGGGGAGGTCAGCGTCCATGTGGTCACCACCGAGAGCACTGTGCAGAGCACCCACCTGCCAACGACTGCCTTCATCATACCAGGTATGCAGAGCTGTCCTCTCTGACTGGTGCCTCCACAGCCCTCTCCCCTCACATTGATACCTCACGCTCCTTGTACATCTGTGCTCCTCCCAAGCCTTGGGAGGTGAAACTGTGCTGCTGTTGCCATCTTAGAGGTTCTCTGTGGCTGTCCCACATCACTTGGGTGATTTGAGGCTGATCAAAATCTCTTGAGTTTTAAACCAAAGCCCTGATGTCCAGGGCCCTGTGTCAGTGCAGCACCGTGTGCTGGAGCGTGTAGCCTCCTGGGGTGTTGCTTTATCGTAGAGTCACAGAATATCTCAGACTGGAAGGATCGTTGAGTTCGACTCCTTGCTTCTCGCAGAACTACCTAGAACTAAACCGTACGACTAAGAGCGTCATCCAGGCTCTCCCTGAACTCTGACAGGCTTGGTGCTGTCACCTCTTCCCCAGGGAGCCTGTTGCCGGGACCGACCACCCTCTTGGTGAAGAGCCTCTTCCTCATGTCCCATCTGAACTTCCCCTGACGCAGCTTCGTTCCATTTCCTCGTGTCCTATCGCTGGTCACCAGAGAGAGGAGCTGAGCACCTGAGGGAGGTGCAGGCTGCGATGAGGGCACGCCTCGGCCTCCTCTGCTCCGAGCTGAGCAAGCTGAGCGGTCTCAGCCGCTCCTCCCAAGTCTTGCCCTCGAGACCTTTCACCCCCTTGTTGCCCTCCTGGACACGTTCTCGTGGTTTGATGCCCGTCACACACTGAGGTGCCCCAGCCCACCCCTGGCGCTCGTGGTGGGGCCGCACCAGCGCGGGGCAGAGCGGGTCAACCAGCTGGCCCTACTGTGCTCGAGGCAGCCCAGGGCACAGACTTGGCGACACGGGCACGCGG